TCCCGCCCGCACGCGCGCACACCCTCACATCCTCGGGCCGTTTTCACGTTTTTCTCGAAGTCAGAAGTTCGGAGCGAGCGCGGGCGGGGAGAGCCGCCGGCGCCACCTTGGAGCCCGAAGCCGGCCCGATCCCCCCCCCCCTTCCCCACAGAGCCTTCCCGTCCGCCCCGGCGTCGGGGCCCCCCAAGGCCGGCCCGGGGTCTGCGCCGACTTGTGCTGCTGGCGGGGTTTCGCTCCTTCTTCTCAAAGATGAAAGAAGGCACGGTTGTCTTTGCCGCTTCTCCAGGACTGTTGCTGCCTCCGCCGCTGCTTCATTGCACATTCAAGTGGAAAATTTTCAGGAGTCAGCAGAAACATTGTGTCCAAAAAAGACTGAGTCGCAGTTACCACCAAACCCTGGAGGAGACTCTCCCTGGAAAACTTCCCTTCGGTAGGAAATACTGGGGGATTTGTTTGTTTATTGGAAGAGAAATGATCCCCAAGAAGGGGAGAAAATCAGGGTGCACTTCTAGTCTTTGTTCGTAGCAGCAACACTTGTTTTCAAAAGTCCAGAGAGGCCCGCTTTAAAGAAAGTTCAACTTCTTTGAGTTTCCTTTAAAAAAAAAAAGTATTTTTTTAAAAACTGAAGCAACATTTTAAATGAGTTGAAAACAATGGAGGGCTCACACCTCCTTTATTCTCCCACGAAAAGAAATAAAATCCAGATCATAATTTTCTTTGCTTTTTAATTCTTTCCTTTTAAAGATTTATTTAAAGTTAAATGGTGTCACTGTATAAAAATATTTATGAAACAATGAAATACCAGCCACCAGCGTTTCTCAGAAAGCTTGTTAACTTCTCAGAAGCAAGTGGCTGCCTGTGATTTGCAGAAATGAAAATTGACCTCAGTAAGCACTGGAAACTTAGAGACAGATGATGTTGCAGGAGCAGGTAATGTAAAAAGGCCGTTTTTAAAAAACAGTACCTTGGAGGAAGCCTAGACCTTGGGACAGAAAAGTCTGCAAGACCTATCAGGTTTCAAAATAGTGTTTAAAAATCTTTAAAATGCTACAGATATTGCAAAGGAGCAGAACACTATCAGTTCAGGACAACTACATGTTTCTTCCTCCTCACCTTTCGCTATGGTTGCTTCTGGAAGTTTAGGTGGTCTGATCACTTGTGTGCTAGGTGCCTGCAGGTGGTTACCTGAAGATTCCCTTCAGGAAAATGTGATCTCCTTGCATTGGTCAGAGCAGGGAGTGGGCTCCTTTTCTGCAAGCTGCTGTGGATCTTGCTTGTGTCTTATTCCAAGGGGGAGTCCGGGTGTGGGGGCGGGGGCTTCTCTGCTAGGGTACTTTGAAGAAGTGGTTGGGGAACAGACCTCAGGCTGTGCCCAGTACTTCATCCTTTCACTATTGGGTTTGTGCCCTTCTGTAAATAACAGGATCTTTGGGCCCAAACACATCTGAATGCTTATAAGGGCCAGACTTAGATCCAACTTTGGTAAGAACCTTTCCTCTTTAGGAGGAAATAGTAGAACTAATTACAAAGTGACTCAGGAAAGACAAATGGATTAGTTGAACCTTTGTCAACAGTGAGGTTTTGAATTGTTGATTTCTTTTTCAGGGAAAGGCTTATTTTTCTAATCTCACTGTTTCCATAAATGGTCACAGATATTTTTGTTTAGCATTTCTTTATATGCACAACTGTGTTGAACTCTCAGGTTTCAGGTTTTAAACAGAGTTTACCATTTTATTTGTTGTTGGTATAAAAAAAATGAACTGATAAGCTGTATCCATTACTGGTTCTTGCTGATGGTATAAAAGTGTCAATGTAGACCATTTTATTTTTACTTTAATGATAAGTATTATTTGATCCGCAGTTTTAGGGGAGTATTAGAATACCTATTCTTTCTTTCTTTTTCTCTTTTTACAAGTTTGAAACAAAACCAATGTGGCACTTTGCCTTGACAGTGAGAGTTAAAAAAATATTAGAGGAAAGAATCTTTGTTTCGAGTCCTCCTCTGTGCGATCTTTTATAAAGTAACAAATAGACCTCCATCCAGAGAATATGCCTGAAAGATTATTAGAGTTTTTCATTCTTTTCCCAAAACATAAACCAGGACATATACTTAATGAAATTTAATTTAAAGAGGGAGGGCAACCTAGCTTAGTTTTAGCCAGATTGAAATGAATTTCTCACCGAGAGGCGCTTCCTTGCATTGTGGTACTATGTGTGTCTGGGCCCCAGCAACCACACTAATTACACATAAGGGAGGGTTGGGGAGGGTACAGCCTGGGGGAAGTCAGCTTCCTGCTCCCTTTTTCTACCCCTCTTTTGATTTATACAGCAAGAATTATATATTCACACATTTACTTTGGGGATCAGCATCCCTTTTATATAGAAAAAGGACAAGCAAGTCATAAGTAAAAACAATGTTCTGTGTTTTTGTTGCTTGAGCTTCAGTCATTTATAAACAATTTTGAATTTTGCTGGCTCTGACAATACAGAACAGCAAACACGTATAAGAGGGCATTTCTTAATGGGAAATTTTGGGGAGAATATACTTGTAGTCATCTATCTGTGTCTAGATCATATTTGTTGTCATATTTTCAGTAGAAAAGTATATCATAAGAACAGTTAGAGAATGTAGATCCCAGTTGTTCGATAGGCCTTTGAAGAAATGAGCTGTGCCATTAATAATATTTTAAGGTTTCTTGCTTCAGAAATGGATTGATATCTCATACGTGGCGGCTGTACAAGAGCCTGCACATCTGTAGGATTACTCTTCTCTCTAATCTCATGTGTTATTATGTGTTAATTGTGAGCATAATTATACTGCTTGCAAATGAAAATTGTTGTGTTTTATCACTCAAAAGGTTGGTGCAAATAGCTGCATGTGTGATCTACTGTACGTAAAACAACCATGTTCACATACAGACAGTAGGTAGATAACACTTTTAAGCTTGTATTAGGCACTCTGTCTTGTCCCCAATTAAGAGATTGCAAAAGGAGTAAAAAATATTGCGGAGTGAAAGCTGTGCTTAGAGGTTGGATCTGTTTAATGATAAAACTTTTGGGGCGCGTTTTCTCCAAAGACTGAAGAATGCTGGCCAGAGCAAGTGTCCAGCTTTCTCTGTAGAACCGCAGGGAAATCAGAGCCCACCTTTTTGCTGATAAATTGCGGGCAGGGTAGCTTCCCCTTTTGAGTTTAGTGACTGGAACAGCGGAGTGCTAATTTCCTACTTCTGAACTCGGCAGGAAAAGTATGTTGAAAGCTTTTTGCCCTTTGACAAACTTAGGCTGTTGGGGACTCACCGATGGCTAGACTAATTAATCTTTTATAGTTGCATGATGTGTTTTCTTATTTTATCTGTAGAAGCCACAGATTACCCAGAGGTATTTATTTAAATTAGATCTCAAATAATGTTTGAACAATATCAGTGATATATTTTATTCTTTCATATTTACAAAGTTTGATAAAATCAAGTACTCAGGTTCATCCTAAGCACTTAAATGTTTCAGGGTTGGGCTTTTTGACAAATACCAAGTTAGACCCTCTTGTATTATAGTTACTGGTTACTCCTGAAATCAGGAAGGTTCAGAGCCCTCCCTGTTCTGGGACAGTTTCTGGAATGCTAGAATATTTGGATCTAAATATCTGGAGCATTTTTGTGTGGGTTTTTATCTTGTTTTATTTCAAAGATGTGAACTACTGAGAGTTTTTAATCTGTAACATACTCATCACAAGCTTCCTTGACCCTATCTGATATTTGAACTCACAGTTGAAATTCAGCCATTTCTTCAGATACGTTTGGGTTTTGTAGTGGTGCAGAAGACGAGAATTTCAAAATATTTATTTTTTGTTTTACTCAAAGCCAATGGGATGTTCTGAAGGGTGGGTTTTCAGGACTGAGTTCCTTATTGAGTGGCTCACTCTCAGCTCTTAGGTTCTTCTTTTGTGCACTGGCTTTTTGCATGGTTGGGAAGATTCTCAAAAAATCGTTTCCATAGTCTGGGATCCCTGGCTAACTGAAACCACTGGTCTCTCTTCTGATTGGATTGGGGGAGTAGGGGATTCCTAAGAGGCTGTCTTTCCTACTTTTATGGCAGGACAAGGCAAGGCTCCATTCTCACTGTGTTTATGTGGCCCCCTCTACTCCCCCAATTGTTTAAAATCAGTATTTACTATCCAGATGCAATGCTTTCTGCCCTTTTTTTCACATTAATTTTTAAGACTCTGTCCTGGGATTTTATTAGCAGTTTTAGTTTAAGGGACAGTGTCCAGCATTGGCAAATGGGTTTAAAAGAAAAAGTCAGCTTATTGATGAACAAGTTGACACTGTTGTTTCCAGAGGGAGATTCTGGTGGTTGCTTTTAGGCATCTGACAGGTTTAGATGTATTTGTATATTGACTGGGAATATACAACAATGACGAGTTCTGTTGTTTTTACTGATATATAAACTGAAAAACTGCTGCTAATGGTGGGAAATGTTAATTATGTGAGAACATATTGAACTTATATTCTTTGGCATGAACTTTAAAAAAAAATGCATGAACTGCGCTGCTTTTTTATAGGCACAGCTTTCTAATTATCATAATTCAGTTCAGCTCCACTCTTGGATGGAGTTCAAGTGCAATCTCAATTTAACTTGAAAGGAGTTTTTTTTTTTTTGAGAATGTATAAGAAAATTTGAAAAGTTCATCCAAGAATGCTGTCTGCTTAGGTGTGGGTAATTTGGGGGATGAAATGTGTGCCTTCATGCAATAGTTAACTAGATCTTAATATTTGGAAAGAGACTTTTTTTTTTTGACATTTCATTGCACCTATCCAAACCTACATCTTGTGCATTTTTGAATAACCAGATGTTGTTTGTTGCTGCGTTCTCTTTGAAAACCAGTGTCTTTTCTCTAATAGATAGTAAAGTTAAAAAAAAAAAGAATATTGTATTACCATCAATGATGTCTCTGCAGAGATAGGAACCTTTTTAGAGTTAGCAGAAAGTAGAAAGAAATCTTATGAATTCATTTGACAAAAATTACTACTAATCTTTTATACCAACCGAACCATTCGAAGGTGATCTCCTTATCTGGTCATCTTTACACTTTGACTTGATGGCATTTTGTGAAGGGAGTTGTCTTTGACAGCATTCGTTCCAGTGTCCTTTAAATTTCCTATGACCTTAGTGTCTTTTCAAAGAAAAAAAAGTTAATGAAGCCCAGGCACCAAATCCTCTGTGGAATCAGTTTTAATTGGAAGAAAGAACAACTTCGGCTGGACCTTCCGACTTCCGTCTGGTCTCACTTCTACTGCTCGAATGCAAAGGGAGCCCACAGAAACCAAATGACTTCATTTGCTCTGGCACTTCAGAGCCGAATTCACTTCCATGGTGGTGAAATAAAAGGAGCCAAGTGTTTTAAATAGCCACTCCCCAAGGCCCGCCCGCCTG